ACTGAGAATTTTATTGAAATATTCTTAGTCTTTCCAAGCACATAAATAGGATGAAGAATATATTTTAAATGACACATGTGGTTCACATCATATTACTATTGGACAGGACTAATCTCTCTCTTACCCTACCCATGGATTCATAAAGTTTACAGTGGTAGGTAGAGATTCTGCCATTTCCTTTTCTTAAACTCATATAACAGTTGTATTTGGAGTATATACTGGGCTTCCAGAAAAGCTGTTTTGCTTGCATCTCAAAATGGTAAAAACATCTGTATAAATAACAAATCTTCCAGGGCCCAGACACTTCTCACACAATCCAGCTTCCACAAAGGAAGCCACCAATGACACTTGAGTGGCCATCCCAGTGAAGCTGGTGTATAGGTGGAAGATGGCTATCCATCAGGAGTGTGATCTGATCCTAAGGTGTGCATGGGCAGGGAAGACCTATGCATAGTGTGTGCCAGGTCCCCAGGCTATGGTTTCAGCACTAGCAGCCTGAGTGTGGCTCAGGGGCCTGTTAGAAATGCAAGTTAATAAGCTCTACCACAGACCTGCCAAATCAGACCTCTGGGAGTGGAGATCAGCAGTTGACAAGCTCACCAGGTGCTTCTAATGCATGATGGCATTTAAGACCATGACTGGAAGAGGTCTGGACTTCATCCACAAAGTACTGAGGCTAATCACGGTCACTGAGGAAAATGCTGATGAGTCTTTGACTGGGGAGGGTGAGTCGTGAGGAGACAGAGACTGGCACAGCACTCGTACAATCCCCGAGGATGCCAGTCAAGGACTGTTGAGTACCTGGAAGCAAATGGCACATTTTCTTATAGATTTGGCTGTGGAAGAGGTGTGGCTTCCTCGAATATGGAAGGGCCTTTGCAAAGTCCAGCCCAGACCCTGTGCTGGATGCTGCATTAGACACTCAGCATCAGGCTTCCGCCCGGCATGTACAGAGGTGATTTGTTACCAAAGCACATCTGCCAGCCTGGCTTCCCCACCCCTTCCCGCTCCCCTTTCTCTTACTCGCCCCCGTCATTTTTCTCTCTTTCCCCAGCCCCTCCCTTATCTCTCCTCAATCCCTTCATTCACTAGACATTTTCTGAAATACACAGTGCTTAACAGAAGTCATACTTCTTCAAGTGCTTAACACAGATCAACTCACGTAAGCCCCCCTACTATCTCTACACTGAAGGAGATCACACAACTATCATCCAAACCAAGACGAAAGGCAAAAGGTAGAAAGGATGATAGGTCAAGCCAACATGCATGGCTGCCATAGTAACAGGGGCAGTTAATATCCCTATCTCAGAGATGAGGGAGGAATGCGTCATGTAAACATTCTCCAAAGTACATGTAACACGGATGCTTATGGATGCTTGGCTCTTGATTCAAAGCTGGCAGACTGGAACCTGTGTGTGGTCTCTGAAAGGTAAGTTTTTTCAGTCTGTAGAAATGAATAGCCAGGGTGTGTCAGGCAAATGATGAGCATCTAATAAGGGAAATGTCACAGGAGGAGGACAGTTATTGTACCTGGAACATAGGCTGAGGGGTGAGAGTGTGGCATGGAAGGGAATTTTCCAATCCTTGGTTGCTTTTCTAAGCTTTAAATCATGCCCTAAGTACCAAGCAAGGGCTCCGAATAAGGCAGTGATGTGCTCTGGGTAAGTCTGGGTACCACTGTATGTCATCTGGAGACAAACAAATTATAGAGTCAGATGAATCAGAGAGGGCACCAGAAGAGGGAGGAAAACAGATGGTGGAATCCATGGGGCCTCATAACTGCACATGGGCATAAAGGGACTTGTGAATTGTTCTTTAGCTTGGATAACTAAATGCTATGCATAGAGAAGTGGCCTGTGGGGAAGGTACCTGGTGGGTTTAACTTGGACACATTAAAGTTCTTTTTATTGAAAATGGAATTATACACAGCAAAAGTCATCTTTGTCCCATGATCTTTGCGGTATGTAGAGTCACTACTGTAATCAAGGTATAGAACATTTGTATCAGTTGCCAAAACTTCTCTTCCACTCCTTCATCATCAGAGTCCTACAGCTATCCATAACCATGACAAGCATCCACACAACTTCCCAGACTGTAGCAAATGAACAACGCAGAATGAAGCCTGCTGCCTGACACTCCCTTCACTTAGAATGAGGCTCTGCCCATCATCCACGTTGCTACATCTGTGGACTCTTTTACCTTTGATTTCATAGATCGGATTTCATGATATGGATGACCTGCAATGATTTTTATCCCTTCACCTGTTGAATGGCATCCTTGCTGTTTCCAGTGTGGGCCTATTACAAACAAAACAGCTGTGGGTATTCATGGATGCCTCTTGTGCAGATACATGTTCACTCTCTTTGCTAAAATGCCTGCAAATGGGATTTCTAGGACACATCGAATGTGTGTTTTTCACTATAAGAGTTACTCAGCTGTTTACCAAGTATCTGCACCATTTTGCTACCTCAACTATATGAGCATTCTGATTGTTCTTCATACTCACAGCACTGCTGTCAGGTTTTTTTCTGTGTTTATTTGTTTGTTTTTAATTTTGGCAGTTTTAGTGGGTATAGAATATGTTATTGCTTGAATGTGAATGGCCCCCACAGGTTCATGTGTTTAAATACCTAGTCCACAGTTAGTGGGACTGTTTAGGGTTAGGGGGTGTGGCCTTCTTGGAGAATGTGTGTCACTGTGGGTGGGCTTTGAGATTTCACAAACCCATTCTTGGAATGGTTCATCTGTTAGAAATGTGCTTTGAAAATATCATGTACCACTCTGTAAATATTGTAAATAGTTTTTTGCTTCCATGTACACAATGGATATTGTCTATAGCATTGTGTTTTTGTAGTGTCTATTGTGATAATTTATTTATGCTCTAACAAATAAAGCTTGCCTGGTGAACAGAGGAAAAAGCCAACCACTATATTAAACATAGAGGTCAGGCAGTGGGAGCACACTTCTTTAATTCTAGCATTTGGGAGGCAGAGAAATTCATCCGGATCTCTGTGAGTTCAAGACCACAATAGAAATAGAGCTAGGCATGGTAGCACACACCTTTAATGCCAGCACTAGTTAACTATAGAGGTCTGGAGGTCTGTACAGCCAGACAGGAAGTGATAGAGCTTGGTGGAAAAAGGAAGCGATGTAGCTGGGCA